AGATGTGTATAAGAGACAAGGCGTACACTTGTCTCCTAACCATACCCAGAGCAAATTACTCTTTCATTGTCTTGCAAAAGTTATGTGGCACATTCTTAAAAATGTAAACAAATAGCTAAAAAGCATAGCGGCTGCCGACTCTTGCACAAAAAAGATGTATGGCCCTCCTTTGTAGGAATTATATCTTTAATAAAAAAAAAAGAGGTCATAATGATGTTTGGCCCTCCTTTGTAGGAATTATATCTTTAATAAAAAAAAAGAGGTCATAATCAATTTACTTGCAAGCTCTAAAGTAAGTTCTTCTACATGGTGAATGAATATACCTTAAATACCTGGAATATATGCATATAGCAAGTTTTTATGAAAAAATATCATGATGAGAACAAATAAAATGTGTTCGTCAAGGAAAAAAAGCAAACAACATTATTGTCAGCGTCAGTGTCCTTGTCATGAACATCAAAGTTATTTTATTTTAGACACCAAAACTTATACTATTACTATTTCTGTTATTATTATTATTATTATTTTTATTATTCATATTTCTGTCAATATTTTTCTATCTGGCATTTTAGCTGTAATGATTTACTAAAATGTTTGTAATTATTATTTGCAGGCACGACAGCAACAGATTAATGCTTTACTAACCCAAGGAGACCACTTAGTATCTACCGAGCAATTCTATAGTGATGTATATGAAGCTATGTCTCAGTCCTTAGGTGAGGCCTGGCAGGATCTCAACAGACAGCTTCAAGATAGGCGTAACTTACTGGATGAGGCCACCGACTTCTACCAGCTCTCTGAGAATGTAAGATACACTAATCGTGTCACAAAACGCACCCGTTCTTGCTTTCGTCCTTAGCTAGTCAACAAAGAATCAACAACATCGTTAATCAATTGTGTCTCACAAAATACCATTTAATATCATTTCACCATCGATACATAGGAACCAGGATAACAATATCTTGAGTTCACCACAGGCGACTTCCCTCGGATACACTCCGAATTACAATAGGCCTACAACAAATTGGTTCCAACAAGTCAATGACTGCGCCATTCCTTGTAGTCCTACGATTCTCTTTACACATAAACTTGCTCAAAGTGTTCTTACAAAACATCAAAGCAGGCCTAAGCCACCACACACTGGGTTTTAGTCATGATAAAAGCTGAACTAGCATCACCAAATAGGACACCTTGTTTCGTAAATACAAATAACAACGCCCATACTGTTACTGTCTAGTTACTGCATTTACACGGTGCTTTGCAGCTAGCCGTCTTTTCTGACTGACGACGTATAATGATGTCCATTATTTCCATGCACACAAGAGCTCACAACCACTTAATTTACATAAAAGGTGTAAGTTGTAAGCTTAATACAGTAAGTTAGGAAACCCACAGAATTTCCTAACAAATAGTACAACTAGAATTTGGTACAAAATTTCTTTATAATAACTGAAAATGTGTTTAACCAGGCTTAACCCTTTCACTGCTGGGCCTTTTTAGGAAGAAGGTTATTTTAAATAAATGCCAAAAAAAAAAAGACTAAAAGAGGTTAGTTTGAAATTGTTTTTGTGTGTTGGGGTGGGAAAAAGGTTGGCCTATTGGAAAAAATTAAAATTGGAATTTTTAATTAGGTGGTATTGTGACCTTGGGGTGGCCATATTGGAAATCCATATTTTCATAAATCTGTAAAAAAAGATAGAAATTCTTATGGGATGCTGTTTTTTTCACTGGATAATGTTGAAGATACATAAAATGAATAAAAAAAAAAATCAATAGTTTGAATTATTTTCATCATTCTATTCTAAAACAAACAAAAATCCATGTTTGTCGGCAGAATCGTGAAAAAAAAATTCCAAAAAATCGCTGCAAGATGAGTTTTTCGCAACAATTAGTCATTACTCCATATAATTCAGTAGAAATCACCTCCAGCTCATAGAAACAACAATAGAGGGTGCCTGCAGTACAGGAACAATTTTAAAAAGAATTATTTTCATGCCCCCAGTAGTACCGGGGGCACGCAGCAAAAGTGTTAAACTTACATAACCATATCCCCTGGATGGTTATGAATATAAAACTTATGAAATTTAATATTCCTTTTTCCTAATTGTGATATATTCAATATTTATTTGAGTAGATATTCTAAGGCATTTACTTTAGTTTATTATTTTTTATAGTTTTCTGATAAATTAAGACGGGCATCAGAAGAATGCAAAAGCCAAGAGCTGGACGTAGGTTGTGAGGAAGCTGAAGCAAAATTGAATAACCACCAGGCTTTAAAGAAAGGTAGTACCATTTATCTAATTAAACTTGGCATGGATAATCATCTGCATTAATATGGAAATATAAGTGTGAGAAAAATAAAGTGTATTAATTTGAATCAAATCTCTAGCAGTTACTAACCATGTATGTTTTGAAATTATTTGAATTAAAACCCCCTAGCAGAGCTATCCAGATCTCTCTGACCTCTATTAGACTGGCCAACTCAATGTTGGACACCCAAGGTCTTGTTCTAAGGATTGCATCTTCTCTATTCTTCATTCACAATGCCTTGCTTAGTTATAGTATGAATGGTTGGAAAGTTCACTATTTCAAGAGTGAAAATGTATATTTGAATAAAATAAAAGATAAAGCAATGTTTGGGTGAAAATTGTGTACAACTCATTTTGAATTCTAGATATTCTAGCAACATCAATGAAGACAATGAATCTAGGCCGAGCGTTGACGCAGAATCTGAATGAGTTAACCCCTGTTTCCAGCCCAGTAGAAGACAGACAGGCCACCACCGCGGTGTGCTTTGCTATTGAGAGCAACCTTGAATCTCTACAGGACAGGAGACGTGCCTTGGAGGATGCTTGGAATAAACGCCGACAAGACCTGGAACAAAATGTTATCTTATGTAAACTAAACAAAGAAGTTGACGAGGTAAGTGTTTGTTGCAAAATTCGCTCAAGAATTCTTAGGTGGTGGAGATATTCCTGGTAGGCCTGTTATGCTAGTATATTGTGCTATCATAGGCAACCATAACCACAAGAATGTGACCTGGTCGAGTGCCAATATATATGTATAGACTGTCCTCACGCAATAGTTTTACAAATAGTGGCTTTCAAATGTAAGCCTGCTCTGTCCATCAGTGGTATGCAATATTTGATAAAAAAGCTTACTAAAAAACAATTGAAAACAACCTGTACTCATAAAGGCCAACTCGGACATCATTGTACGATGCAACCCAAAGTGGTGTATCATGGTGTCGAGTCTCTGTGCATTAAATGGAGATGCTATGAGTCGTCATAATACTGCATCATGGACAGTCGTGTTGTAAAATATTAAACATAATTAATATTATCAAGACGAGCTTAGACTGTCCCAGACGATAAATCATGTCAGGCTATGCTGTCTGAGTTGGCCTTTTGGTGCCTTATGATTCCTTTCCACTACTGGTATATATTTATGTTTATTCTTCACAAAATGCTACAATTTTGATGTAGCAGCACTATAATGTATGCTTTGATTAGCTGCAGTTTAGTATTTTTTGATTGGTCCAACCTTTTGCTTTCTCTTATTTTTAGGTTTCTGATTGGTTCACGTCTCACGGGGATATTCATCTTGATGTTGGAGACAGTATTGAAACTACCCGTGCACGACTCGCGGACCATAAAAAGTTACAGGAAACTTTCACGGTAATTTATCTATTATCTAAATAATTATTTTTTATTGATAGTTTTATTAATATTACTAACCATCTTTCACTGTCAAAAATAGAAAAGAAAAGAGAGTAAATATTCGCCATAACTTGGGAAAGGAAGTAATATCCATAACCCATTCTACCTTCCACAAAAAAATACAATAAATCACAAAGGGTATGAAAAAAAAATGAATGAAAAGTAAAACGAACATGAATATTTAATGAATATAGAAAAAAATATCAAAACCAGATTAACATGTCTTGTTATGATAGTAGATATCTACATAGGACTTCTACATATGCCACTGTAACTTGGCCCTGTCAGAGAACAGTAGATACCTACTGAACAGGATACCTAGTAGTATAAGGAAAAAAAAAATTTTCAAGGTGGAATGACTTCACTTGGATGTATAGGCATACCATGTGTAGATAAGTCATACAAACTGCTTGAGGTAAAATGGCAAGTAGACTTAATATAAATAACATGGAAAAATGCCAGAGGTAGTAGTGATATCAACAACCATATTTAGTGCTACATCACTTTCCTATATTTATAATTTCTTTGCCGTTTGGTCTATTGAAAATTGAATACATAGTCTATTTTGTGAATACATACCTGGATAAATTGAATAATTACCTTTGTTCTAAAATGAACTGCCCCTTCGAAAAAAATAGAACTGTCGGACCTAGGGCGCCATGTACAAACCGTCTCCCAAAAAATAGTCCTCATTCCCTATTTGATGTTATTTGAATAAGAAGCTCCCTTTGTACTTTGCACTTGCTTATAAGCCACATGCATATTGAATTTTGGATATTAGTTTCGCAATAAGATTGAAACAAAATTCTTTTATTTATGTAATAATTCTTCAAACCTTTAACATAGATATCCCTATTTTACTTATACATACTTGGATGTTATGTATTTGCTAAAAGCCACTAAATGGTATTGAGTTCAAAGGAAGACACAGAAATAAAGGCTGAAAACATGAAAAACTTGCTCAAATTTTCTTAGCAAGGGAGTTTAAGGATTCTTAGTTAAATTGTTATAGGATGACCCCCACTCCATATATATAAATATGGACCATGTAAATAGCGGATTAATTGATCAGTATGTTTTAAAATAATCTTGTAAACTTTACTTTGCAAATCAAGTGCACTGACAAAAATAGAATTATTTTAAAATGTTATAGAAAAACTAATGTAAAATATCAAACCGGCTGACATACATTTTAGAATTTAAAAGCAACTTACCACAAACAGTTTTTACTATCAATTTTTGGACACAATAATAATACACAACATAAAACAGATTTACACATAAATAATGTTTTATTAATTTTATAAATTAAAAAAAAACTTTGCTGGATTTTATTCATTATGTTTTCTAAAGTCTATAATTTTGATGATACTGTTAGTAAGGGTAGTTATGGTCTTATTAGTATTATAAGAATAATAAATCCATATTACTAAAGCACAGTTGTCAATCACCAAAGGTGTTGCATATTATATTTTGAACTTGCAAATTAACTTTTTACATGGAATTTATTATTCATATCATAGGAGGTTAAGACGAAGGTGTCCAACATGAACATTGAGGCTGTCAAAGTATCCTCCTCAACACAACACAAACTACAATTACTTTTGACCCAGACCAGAGGCATTAACACTTTATGTGATGACTTTGGTGAGAAGCTTAATAATTGGCATCAGATACTTGCATGTACTCTTGACTTTAGAGTAAATACTCAGATGGTAAGTTTTGATTTACTGATTACAGTACCTCTTCTATGACCTTGTTTTTATTGCTTTTGAAAATGTAAACATGATGTGGTTTCCATCTAGGATTGGCTGTGATGTAGAACATAGCTACATTTTTTCATCTGTAGATACTCACTCATCATACTATGATTATAATTTCATGTGTATGTCATTATTATACAGTTAACATAACAACATGATGCTTCTTCTTCTGGCCCTGGAGGCAATTTTTAAATATATTATAATGTACAAATGCATTCATATATTGAATAAATGCTAAAGCTACCTTGAAAAATGTTACATTTTTCATTAAAAAAATAAAAAAAGATCTAAGGAATTTTTCAACCACAATTCAAGGGTTGTTTTTCTTTAAAAATGTTTTTTTTTTCATATTATGTACATTCTGGATTTGAATTTAAGTCTAAACTAAGGGGAATGGCGTAACTAAAGCAGGCTTTTATATTCAGTGAAATAGGTTTCAAATTATAATGGAATCTTTGCAGGCTATGGAGACCTTGTATAAACTAGAGATTGAGATTCAGAATGTGAATAAACCAAGTGAAGAACTACCAACATACCTGAGTTCCTTACACCATGCTGTTGACCCTGTAGTCAAAGAAGGTCAAGTGCTATTGAGCATGCTTACCTACCCAACACCTGGAGCCAACTATATTCAAATTAGTATTGAGAAACTCCAGGTAAGAGTTTTTTTCTGATTTTCATATACAACTGTATAAGCCCGGGTATTTACTGCGCCTGGTGGTTATCAGCTGACGCAAATCTATGGAGAAAACAATTTTTCTCTTTTGACCATTATATGCGACTTGTGAAACTTCAATTAATAGTGGTTTTCTCTCCATGGATATTTTGTTCTGTCCCACACCACGGATAGTTTGTTTTGTCCTATTCAATTGATTATAATTAGAAAGCTGCCCCTTCAAGAGTGCCGGTGTTGCCGGCCATGATTTTGCAGTGTTGTTCAGGTGCTAACGTCTGGATCACAGTCGTTTGAGAATATAACCTCTGGTGAATTGGATATTAACAGCCATACACTTATGGAATATTCCATAATGCTATAACTTGCCAAAGGACACAGTGTGACCAGCTCTTTCTTTGGATTGAATATTTTGCATTGTCAATATTCTGTTTTTATTTAGGTGGAGGCAAGCCGAATTGAAAACCAATATTATTCTGAACTCTACCATGAGACCAGTGTATTGACTGATTTTGAAGAGAAGTACTCCGTAGTTGTAAAGTGGTTGAGGAATGTTGGTGACAACTACTTAGCTTCTTACAATGACCCAGGGGACCAGCTTGCTACGGCCATGGACTTCCTTGAAGGCCATGAGCAGTTAGATGATGACATGCGAGTAAGTACTCATTAGATTGATAGAATGTTTTCCCACATTTTCACCTAATGCGATGAATTAATTTATTTTTGTTTTCTTTAAGTTATAGGAACTATTATAAACACTAATGATCATAAAGATTTTTTTTTTAAAGTGAAAGTAGCATTAATACTTTTTTTTATTTACCATGTTTATTTGCCAATGTTATTTAATTTGTATTATTAAAATGTATGTGAATATGTCAAATGAGCTTATGTTTCTCTTGTGATGCCATCGTTTCCTGCAGGAAAAAACTAAAGAAGTCGAAAAGGTTTTGAATGCCACTGCTGATATCATAACTTCTGGAGTTCCAGACTCGACTTCCGTTCAAGAACGAGCTGATAAACTTCGTCAGCAGTGGACTAGGATTACGATATCCGTTGAAAATAGAATTCGAATTGCCTTGATACTTGTCAAATTCCATAAACTTACAAAAGAGGTAAAGTTATTCTTCCAAGATTTTTGATGAATTAAGGAGAAAATTGATGGTCATAGTGGTGGTGGAATGATGTTGGTGATAAGGAATGTGCGTGATGTTTGTATAATGTTAGTGAATATTATTTTACTAATTTAAAAATGCCTATAGTAGGGATTCCAGAACTCGGATAATTCTTGTTCCAGTTATAAAGAATAGACTGGCGTGAGTGACAAACAAATGTGTTCCATGTAAATATTTATTATTATTGTATGTTACCAAAAAATTCATTTATATATTATCACTACTGATCTTTGTTTTGAATATACACTAGTATGTTTGAGCAGTGTGAAATATTATTTCTTCTTAATTAGTGTGTGGTTATGGAATTTTCGTTTTTGGATTTTTCTGATAATGTAGGTATTCAGTTGTCAAAAATAATATAAAATATAATAAAGTATTATGTTTTTTAATTTAATTTTTGTCTCTGTCTTTAGAATCCCTATTTATAATATAAACATTCTAGTTCAAAGTGACATTTTAAAATGTTTTTAATGATGTGGTAATCATAATCACATCATAACCTAGTTATTATTTATTTATTTATTTTTTTTTAATGACTAGTTGGTGAATTCAATGGAAAACCTTGAAACAATGCTGAAAGCAGTAGACAGTGATGGCCAACCACAGTCTTCATCGCAAGGGAGACTACAAGAACGTTGGGAACATATGATTGAATTATATGTCCAGACGGAGTGTAAAGGAAAGAACTATCTGTCAGAAGCTAACTTTGTAAGTATTGCCAATTTGTAAGTATTCTCCCCTAAATATTTCAAAATTTAACAAAAATTGAGAAAAAAATGAATATTCTACTCAAATTTTAGGTCTAAGAGTGCTATTTCCGGCAGTTCAGAGGTGCCATATTCATAAATTTTCTTACCTCAGGCCCAACCAAGGTGGGGCTGAGGTAAATAGACCCTCCATCTGTGAAAGTCTTTTTCTGGGCCCCCTCTTTTTCAAATTCCTGTATCTGCCACTGTAAACTTTGATATGTTATGAAACTTTTCAGCTTTATGTAAAATGTATGAGAGGAAGGATAGCTTTTACTTTTCATTTACTATATTTTTTCATGACCTGGTGAAATTAAGCACTCTATAATCAATTAAATTAGTCATTTAATCCGTTAAAAGGCTGTAGCTTCAGGGGGCCTCGGATCTGCCCCCTCGATATCACTGGGGCTGTAGGTGCCCCCAAACCCCAGCCAATGGGCCCGGGCAGCAAAGCTGCTGCCCCGGGGGGCCACGGCTGCTCTCGACGGCCCTGATCTGATGTAACTGACTGTTATTCCTGGTTCATTTGATATTGTTATACTTTTCTGCCTCCTTGGGAAGTACAACATTTTTCGTCTTGAATTAAAGCAATGAATATATAAATAAGACACAATGTTAAGAAGTTGTTAAATTAAACATCAGTATCTAAGAAAATAATTTGGTTGAAGATTTTCTGGGGTTTTTATTGTAGATAAGTGATGATCCCTTGATAGTTCTGCAGCCATCAATTAGCATGGTGGAAATCAAACTGAAGAAGTATGAAGAACACAAAAATAAACTAACAGACATGTATGACTCATGGCAGTTACAGCAAACATTGAGTAAAGACTTTGCCAGTCAGTGGGAACAGTTTGTCAGTGATGCAAAACAAGTAAGTTGTTTACTTTTGATATATTCTTCATTCTATGTTATTTGTAGCAGTCTTAATGTGATTATTTTTGGTTAGCCATTATTTATCTACTATTTCCAAGCCTGTTGCCAAATCATAAAATCCTAAACTTTCCTCTCCCTGTGATGCAGTGCACCCACAATTATATTTAGAGGTGCCCACTGAACATTATGTTGTAAGAGTAAAACTATTAAGAAACACTTGGAACTTGTGCTTTAAAGGTTTAAGCTGTACAAACATACTATACTTAGAATGGCCATTTGTTCAGTAGTACTGATCAGTTTACATGGTAGATGTTTGAAAACTTCAGGAAGTGAAGTTGTCCTATTTAGGAGACTCTTTCAAGACATAATACATGGAGGTCAGTGTCTTAATGCATTGGTAAGTTCATGTGGACATACTGTACTGATTAAATTTGTCATCTATGAATTAACATCCACAGACAATCAAATGGGTTGAGAAAGTTGAGGCTGATTTCTTTCCCATAAGTGAGCTAGATGGAGGACTACAAGATACAGACTCACTTCAAGCTAAATTTGACCAAATACAATTAACTATGCAAGTAAGTAACAACGCAGGATTTGATTAATGATTTATTCAGTATGTTGACATCTTCAAAATTGTCAAGACCACAATCATAATCAATTTTCATCCCCGTCATCATCATGACCACCATCAATATTATCATTGCTATCATCACCAGCAGTATTATCATTTTCATCATCAACATTGTCATTGTCTGCATTAGGATCACCACAATCAATATCTATTATTATAATCAATAATTGCCATCATCATCATTATCATCAATGTCCTCACCATTCCCATCTCCATTGCCATTTCATCAACGTCATCACCTGTTGATTGCAAACCATTTCTAAACTTTCTCCAGTTTCAATGATTCTGAGCCGTAGTTGCAATAGGGTTTTCTTATCATTCATTGTATAACTTTACACAAGTTTCTAGTGCCAACTTAGTGTGTCTCAGAGGACAGCTGAGTGTATATCTTCAAAGCCAACAGAGTGTGTGCAAACTGAGTGTGTGTCTCAAGCCAACAGAGCATGTGCCAAATGAGTGTGTGTCTCAGAACCTAACAG